GTGGGAGGGGCCTGGCGCGGCGGTTCCGGCCTCCGAGGAGGGGTGTCCCGGCTCCCGCCCGAGCTGGGTGGGCGCGCCGCGGGCTGCGCGCGGGGTCTCGGGTCTGAGGTGGGCGCGGAGGCCGGCGAGGGTGCCGAGGGGCGCAGGTCTCTCCTGGAAGGAAGAGGACCTGAAATGCTCAGGGAGAGAAAGGAGTGATGTTTGTGGAGGGACCTGGAGAGGAGGAAGGGGCGACTTGAGACTCAGCTGAAACCGAGTGCTTGAGAATGTGCGGATGCTGACTTGGGGGTTGGGGGGGAGAGGGAATGAGCATGGACATGCTTCCTGAACCCTTTCTGAGAGTCTCTTGTCTTTTTTCTTGGTTGGAAATGTCCTTTACCAGACACTTTGATTTTGGTCCCCTTCAGCTTATAAACTTCAGGAAGAATGACAATCTTGATCCTTATGCAGTCGTCACACCCCCCTTCGTCCTGCTTGGGGAGAGTTTCCATTTCTTGAGCACCTCACCTTTTAGATACATCTTTCTTTGAGATTTTCCCAGTTCAAGTCTTATTCAAGGCTTAATAATAAAGGGGGGAAAGCGCGTGGGCACTTTGCTCCTGCTTTAAAACGGTTTTTATTCTAAACTATTGACCGCGACCTCGCGGAACCTCAGGAACACATTGTAGTGTCTGCAGGGGTGTTGGACAAGAAGAGTGTCGGCCTGCACTGCCTTTTTCTTTCTTTGGTTTAAATTATTCAGCCTCTCTTACCATGTGACTGCTTATCTTGACTAGGTAGGGTGACTGAGAGATCTGTGTTGTGTTCGCTAGAGCTGTGACCTGAATCACGATTTAGAGATGAGCTGTCTGCGTGAAAGGTCCTTATCCTTCCTTTTTATGTTTATTAAAAGAAAAGAAAAGTGAAGTGATTTTTCACAAATGCAGTGTAATTGGAGTGAATGTTCAAAGTGGACATTTACAGGACCCAGCGTAATTTTGAGTTACAAGTTGGGGAAAATAAGTGCTTAATGTTTGAGTCCACATTTTTGGAGTATTTCATGAGCACATTTAATATTCATAGCTGCCCTGTGGGTTAGGCTGCAAAGGTGTTAACTCCCATTTCACAATGAGCAAACAGACCTAAGAGAAACGGATTGATTTTTGACAGTTTATTTCTCTTTCTTTTTTAATGCCCTTTACTCTTTCCCATATAAGGAGCCCTGAAGTGTAATGTGTTAATGTGCTAACTAGTAAGGCTGGCAGATTGACAGTCTCGTCCCATTGTGATTTATAGCCTAAGAAGGTCGCTGTAACCTGGAGGCTGCTCGGCAGCAGTGAACATTCTGTTTATCAGTTGGTCCTGAGTCATTTGGAAGCAAGGTCATCCTGAGTCTTGTAGGGTGGATTGTGCTGCCCAGTGTTTTCAAGGCTGTGACTTTCCTTAAACTATAACCAGGTCTTACTTCTGAGGTGCTTTTTGGTGGATTTGAGCCATCAACGTCTTCGCAGCCAAGCTGTTAAGCATTTGCTACCCAGGACCTCCTTCCTCCCTACCTCCTAGATTGCACATACCTTAAGGCAGGGGTCCTGTCTTACTTGTCTACCAAACTGAGCCTGGCATGTTGTGGGCGCTTGGCAAATATTTGGAGAATATATTCATTTAAGTCACACACTGGTAAGTGGCAGGTAAGAGATTTGAACCCGCATCGTCTATCTTAGCTCCTTATCAGACAAGCTCACTGTTTTGTCCCATTGGTTTCTCTTGGAGTGGACAGCACAGGAGAACGGCTTCAGTTAACATCTCAGACTGTTCCACTTAATTCCAGTACTTTCCCATTTACCAAGAGCTGCTACAGATATCTCACTTAATCTTGACCAGGATACTGTGAATGCCAGAATAGTCCCCACCTTCACAGATGAAGAAACCAGGACTTAGAGAGACCCTATGAACAATAGCTCTGAACCTTGCCCTATCTCCTGAGCCAATGTCACCTTATCTGACACACCTGCCCCCATTGCTTTAAATACTGCATCACCACCCTCAAAACAAAACCCCCTATCCATCTTGAATTCCATCTCATAATAACCCTGTAGAACAGACTTACTGTTAAGTGCTGTCCAGTCAAAAATCACTCAAAGCGACCCTATGAACAACAGATTTGAACCCTGGCCTGGCCTGTGGCATCCGTGTCATCCTCAACACATGTAAGTACTATTTTGCTGCAGACACTGTATCAAGCCCCATCTTGTGGAGGGTCTTCTGCAACTTTGCTGACCCTCCCTCTACCTTTGCAATCCTGATGTCCCTTTTCAAGTAATAACCTCTTCTAGTAACATGTCCAAAATATGAGATGACGCTTTACCATCTTTGCTTTCAAGGAACACTTTCAAGGTTGTGCACTCTGCTAGACATACCTGTTCTTTTGGCATTCCATGGAACATTCAGCAGTCTTCTCCAGCACCACATTCAAAGGCATCAGTTCTTCTCTCATCCTTATTCATTGTCCTACTTTCAGGTGCATGGCAGGTGATGGGGAAGACTGTGGCTTAAATCAAGTGTATCTTAGTCTTTGAACTGACGTCATTGCCTTTTAGGACTTTGGAGGGTTTCCTGACAACAGACTTTCCCAATGCTCTTGATAGTCTCCTGACCTCCTGACTGCTAAGAATATTGACTGTGGATCCAAGCAAGATTGAAATTGACAGTTTCAATCTTTTCTGCATGGAACAGACTAGAGCTGCCTGATAGGGGTTTCCAACACAGTAAATCTTTACTGAAGCAGAATGACACATCTTTGTCCTGTAGATTGCCTGATGGGTTCTGATCTGCGGGTTCAAACAGTCATCCTTTGGGTTTGCAGCACAGAGCTTAACCACTATGACACCAGGAGCTCCTTTAAAGAAGTAAAATACCATAATTTGAGAAAGCAGGCAAGAGGGATGCAGAGTGGTGGGTGGAGTTGCAGTTTGAAACAACTTGCCTTCAGAACCAACTTGTAGCTGACCCTCTTCCAGCAGGTTTTCGGAGATCATAAACTGCACAGGAGATTGCCCATTTTACTGTTGCAAAGCAGCTGGTGAATTTGAACTGCCAATTTAAAATAGGGTATGTAAAACGTTGCTCTGAGAAGATGACGGTTGAGTAAAGATCTGAGGTAGTGAAGGAAGGAGCCAGCTAGACACAAAGTGGTCCAGGCAGAGGGAAGATCAGAAGGTCAAAGACGGGGCATCTCTAGGATGCTATGGACCAGCCAGGAGGATGGTGGTAGGAGTTGAGGTTGGAGACATGTTGAGGGGCAGAGGGAAGATGGACAGGTCTTGCAGGACGTTGTAGGCAGTTGTAAGGATGTTGGTTTTCACCAAGGTAAGGGCTTTGAACAGTAAAGTGACATGATTTTAGCAGTCTCTGGTTGATTTGTGAGGAGGGAGGAAAGTTAGGAGGCTACCAGCACATCCAGGGAAATAAAGGCCTGAGTAGTGATGGAGTGGGGAGAGGTAATTGGGTTCTGAGTCTGTTTTGAAGTACAGCCAACAGAATTTGTTTATGAGCCGAGTTGTATATGGGATGCCAGAGAAAGAGGAGTCCAGGATGACTCCAAGGTATTTGGCATGAACAACTGGAAGAATGGAGGTCATTAGCTGAGGGGGGATGCTGTAGGAGGAGCAGGGTTGGGACTCTGCTCTGATCATGTTGACTGCGAGATGCCTGTTAGAAGTCTAAATGGAGGTGTTGTGGGCAATTAGGTACAGAAGGCTGGCAGTGGTCCTGGACTGGAGATACGCATGTGGGAGCTGTTAGCATATGCATAGTATTTCAAGTTAGGAGACTGAAGTTGCCAATGGAAGACTGCTTCCTGCTGGAAGTTAAATTGTGAAATAAAATTTCAGCTCGTACTACTGTACTAGCAGTTGTTTTAAGTTCATCAAAGCCTTGTAGTGTGTCTCTGGGAACTTGGTTTTCTATCCATTTTGGTTTTTGTGTTTAGATCCTTCTGAAAAAGCACAAGTTAATGGATTTCCTTTTTTTTTTCTTGAGGCAGCTACTCTTCCAAGTGTGCCTTTGTAGTGCTGCTGTAATCAGTTTCTGCACCAGGCTCTGAAATTAGTCTGGCTTTCTGCCGTCCATCGAGAGACCTCCAGGAAGGATGGGTAATGGGTTTTTAGAGTTTTGAAATGTTTGTTTTGCCAAACATGTCTCGAGTGTGTATTGCTAGCCAGACAACCAAGATACTTGGAAAAACAGAAGCCCACAGAGGTGAAGCCATGTGGTTAAGCAACGTAGGGGCCTGGAGCCTCGGTCATCTAAGCCCTCAATTGGTAGTTCAGTCTGTATCTAGCGTGGTAGTCTATGTGAGACCTTAAACTCCTGCCAGAATCAGTCGGACAGCTGCTTTAGAGGCTTTGAATCACTTCAGTCTCTTATGGATTCTAGAATTTCTGAGAGTTAGAGAGAAAAGAGAAGATCTAGTTTCTGTTAGCAGAGAACCAGCTGGAATCTTTTCTTGGAAGGTTGCAGCCCTCCAGTCTGGCTCTTCTCCAGCTGGTAAACAATCGGCGATTTTGGTCCAGTGGCGATAACTGCCTCTAGGAAATGCCAAAATACCTAGGCTGGGCAGGCCTGACTTGGGCTAGGACATAGCCTCTTCCTCTGTGTCACCCATGCCTCTTGCTTCCTGTTTGTCACCTGATCAGCTCTCCAGTTTCATTTGATTTGAAGGTTAGTCCCATTCCTTTGCACTCCCAATGATAGAGGGCTCCCGCTTCTCCTCTCTCTCTGTCTGTACACACTGTCTTTGGCAAAGTTTGGGTCAGTTTGATTGTTTTTCAGTCTGGGCCTTAGGAAAGCAGCAGGTAATTTAGGGCTGGACAGAGGGAAAAA